AACTTCAGCAGTGTAAAATACTGTACATTTAAGAAAACTTAAACTAAATCAATTATTTTTTTTATAAAAGCAATTCTTATTATAACTAATAATGTGACGGTAGGTTGTCTTCTTTATTTTTGCTCATACTGAAGGTTAGCTTTAGATGCTAATCAGACATGTTTAGACCAAGAAGTGAGTGGCTCGATTAGATTTGGACTTTTTTTTATTCTTGTTATTACGTTTTTGAATCTTTCGTTTGATTAAATTATTACTATTTCTTTTGTGGACAGAACAAATTATCACGATTATAAGTATATTGGGTAATAAACTTAATTCTTCAGCTTTATGGGAATTGGTTTCTTTGACCAATGTCAACTGGACGCATTAGTTTAAATAACACGTTTGTTCATGAAGTAGTGTTTGTGTGTCATTATCAAACTAGTGTAGTAAAATTTCCTAAGAAAACATGCATGTTTCTTTTCATTAGTGTGCTTTTTGGTTTGCACAATTTCCAAGAAGCAGAGAGTCTCAAAAGCTGGAGGTTTTAAAATGTAAACGTGTTTTTTTTTTGTGTGTGTGTGTGTGTGTGTGTGCTCAATATCTGCAAAATTTCTATAGCAATTTTTAACTATAACTTTGACAGACACAGGTAAACTCATAATTGCTCTTTTTCCTTCAGCATTGGACAGTAAAAGCTAGATGTAAATCAGAATTATCCAAAAGAACCCGTACATTTACATTTTTGCAAACCGTTTATAAACTGTTTCATTTTTTTTCATGCTTCTCTACAGAAGTGGTCCCTGCTGTGATGTCTCCAACCATGTCTCAGATTAACGATCCAAAGATTGCTTTTGCCTACCTGCGCCCAGCCTGTGTGCTGCTCACCAAGGAGCCCACTGTGACTAACGTGGAGACACTCAGAACCCAGTTAAAAGAAATCCACGATGCTGCGTTGCAGCAGCTCCAAGAGTATGTCCTCTTCCCTCTTCGCTTTGTCCTCAAAGTCCCCGGGTCCAAGAAGGAAAAGACAGTGCAGGCTGTGGCCGAGGCAATGAGCTACATTCTGGAGAAGACTTGCGTCCAGAGCTGGGACACCCTTCGTGACGTTTTCTCCGAGCTCTGCCTCTGCCTCTGCTCTCCCACAGACCCTGGGAAACCTGCAGACACGACGGAGGAGCTGAAATTTGCTGTCCTCCGATGCCTGAATGCTCTGCTTCACGCCGCTTATGGGGATGTAATTTTCAGACTCTATGAGCCCGCTATGCTGCCTGGACTGGGCGCTGCCATGTCACTGCTGCTGGCTTTAGGGGAGAAGGATAAATCCAGAGATATACAGGCAGCTGCCTTGAAGTGCCTCCAGACTTTAGTTCTACATTGTGACTGTACTCAGGAACACGTTCTTCCATCCTCCGATGAAAGATGCTCTGTAGGCAGCACCATGGCTTCCTTCTTACCAGGGATCACCACGGGTGTAGCCAGGATCATCACAGGAGATCTGAGGCAGGGCCATGCTGTGACAGTCAGGGCCATGAAGGTACCAAAGCTTTGTGGGTAACGTTTCATGAATTACATAAAATACAAAGAAACATACAGCTAATGCAGCAAAAGCATAAACTTGATCAATATTAGAATTGTAAACTTAATATTTCAATCAATTTCTCAACAAAGGCATTTTTATTATGAATGATTTATTTTATTTTATTTTATTTTATTTTATTTCATTTTATTTTATTTTATTATTTTGTCACATTAAAGAACACTCCACACA